TTCAGGCTTCTTCTTTCCAATTGCTTAAATTGGAAAATTTACTGCGATGATCATTCTTCACTTTCATGTTGAATTCTAATCAGTAACAAACTCCTTGACTGTGACAAAACTCAACTTTGTCACACTCAGCTTGTTCGAGCAGGCTACGGCCATATAAACAGGAAAAAAAAAATGTTTCCGCCGTTTTGTCTGAGTACCCCCTACGGAGAGACGGTGTCGTTCGACAAAGACGAGGTCGGGTTGTTCTTATTTACGTGTTTCACGTTATTATCACTATTTCAGGACACAAAGAAAAACAACGACCTACCTGACAAAATCAGGCTTGATTCGAGGAAAGAGGTCTTGGGCCAGAATCATCTGACTTTTGAATCGATTGGAAACAGTGTTTTGCGATCCTTTTACCGGAAATTCGGTTAACTTCCACTGAAGCAGCTTTTTACCGTGTTCTCTTGTCTCAGCCTCTTTACTTGCTATTGGGGTATTAAAGCCGCTCACTGTTGTGTCTGTGTATTATACAAAGTCGGGTTTTCTTTCAGAAAGCACTACCTTCGTAAGTTCTGGCTTTCAATTTGCTTTTGAATTTATAAACAACCATGTTCTAATATATTCAAGACAGGTGTTTTCCGAAATATTTATCGGCTTGACTTGGAGACTTGGATACTTGGGGTAGTTCGGTTGTGTTGTATCAGAAGCCATAATCGGGGACGGAGACCGTAAGCGCGCGCTGTTTTTAGTATTGGGGCTGTCCCCATGACATGGGACAATTTTTCTATTTTTAGAACAAATTACGCCATCGTGTAGGGTACACGCGCGTACACGCTGCGAGGATTTTTGCCAATGTAGCGCGGGGAGATGGCGTCCGAAATTCTCGAAATGTTTGATGCTTTTGGCCCACAACTCAATACGTTCATATCTGTTGGAATTTTACTTCAGTATTTTCGTCGTAAGCTGCTCCAGTTTGAGTAAAGTAAGACAGTGTCGAATTTAGTTATGTCCCGCTTTATTTCACTGACCACGTTATGTTCCGCTGCTTCTTTTACGAGAGCTCCACGTTACTCCACTCTAAGTTTCACATATGTTTAAGATTAGCAGCTTTTCCATGACACAGCGAAAAACTAGTCGGATATATTTGGATATAGCAGCGTTTCAGGACTTCAAAGTTTCCCTCCTCTTGCTACACGCTTGCGAGGATTTCGCGAGAGTCTATCACGACTGAAAAGTAAAAAAAAAAAATAATAATTGCAAGTTTGAGTTTCGCCTGAATTGCAAGCAACGCTTGATGTTTCATCAAGGCTCAATAAGTGACAATAAGTTTATGTCTGTAGATGCTGCTGAGTTTTGTTTGTGTAAAAATCCAACAAATCGTGTCTGTTGTCAATGAATAAGAGCGCCCGCCGATCTGTGTTTTATACAGTCCGTAAAACATGACAAATTGGACTCCTGCACTTTCGTGTGAAAACGTACCGGCAGGTTTCTTTCACAGGTCAAAGGTCACAGGTCACAGGTCACAATCAAAACACTCAGTAAATTTCGCGATGTAACAATTACCGAGATTCCCGAGAGGTTTATCGATGTTTCCATGCAACA